TGGAATTGGAACGAATATAGATCTCTTCCAGTCAGTTGGCCAAGAACAACCACTTGGCCAAATCCCTATACACATCCAAAACTTTCTCCAACAGGGTAAAAAGGGAAGCCACAGACTGGGAAAAAATATTTGGTAATGACATGTCAGATAAGGGACTTATATCTAGAATTTATAAAATACTTGAGCACCACAATAGCATAAACAAACCAGTTAAAAAATGGGCACAGGATATGAATAGACACTGCACCAAAGAAGACAGATGGCGAACAGACACATGAAGAAATGTTCAAAATCCCTAGCTCTAAGAGAAATGCAAATCAAAACAACTATGAAATATCATTTCACCCCAGTAAGAATAGCAATTTTTTTTTAAGAGGAGGGATGAAAATGTGCAGCAATGAATGAATGAAAATGAAACTTGTCTATAAACTTTTGTTAAAATTACAATTAATCATAGAATGGCACAATTCTATGGGTGGGTGGGATGAAGGAAATTGGAAGGATCTTTTGTGGAAAACAGTGTATTTAAGCTTTGTAAATAAATCAGTATAAAATAAAAAAAAGAATAGCAAAATTTAAAGAACAGCAAACAACAAATGCTGGTGAGGTTGCGGAGAAACAGGAACCCTTATTCATTGTTGGTGGCATGTAAAATGATGCAACCACTATGGAAGGCGGTATGGTGCTTTCTCAAAAAGTTAGAAATAGAAATACCATTTGACCCAGTAACTCCACTACTGGGAGTATACCCTAAAGATACCAGAACCACCACCAAAGCAGATATAAGCATACCCATGTTTATTGCTGCTTTGTTCACAGTAGCAAAGAGTTGGAAACAACCCAAGTGTCCATCAATAAATGGATGGATAGAAAAGCTGTAGTATATTCACACAATGGGATTTTATACAGTACTGAAAAACAAAGAACTCATGAAATACTATACAAAATGGGTGACCCTGAAGGACATTATGCTGATTGAAATATCTCAGTCACAAAAGGACAAATCCTGCATAGTTCCACAGTTGTAAAACAGGGCTGACATCAGAGTTGGGAAGAAACTAAGAGAGGATAAATAATGTGTACAGCATTGAAACAGATGAAGGAGAGTACTGTTTAGGAGGAGTATATGATGAGGTATTATTGTCATGACAAGAGTCCAGAATGAAAGCT